CATTTATCAAGATCATCTACTGCAGAACCATTGTACCTACCTTATCTCTTTTGTCTCACCACTCTGACAGCCTGCTTTTTGAAAAATTTATTTTCAGCCATGTCTTCATCTAACCCCACCTCAAATGGGGCTCATTTTGTTCCAAAGCCACCTGCATACTAAGACCCTGCCATTCTTAGCAAAAGACTTTTGGTTTGGCTGCTCAGGGACTGTGACCTACTTTTGGAGACCTCTGCTCCAGTGCCTGAGATTTGAAGAGGCGTACTTTCACTCCTAGCAACGTCCATCAGCTAGGTCTAGTTTTCATAGCATTTCACAGTCTTTCACAGATTGTGTTTCAGAGTTGTGACTACTTTTTTGTTTCGTCATAGATCTTTTTCTCTGTTTTTGTGGTCGTGTTCTCCTTGTTGATTTTCACAGGGTAGAAGAAGGCCAAGATATCATGACTCTGTCCTTCTTAAATAAGAGCTCCTTGGATAGTATTTGAAGCTGATACTGGAGTCACCCTGGAGAACTAGACTATTTAGTAGAAAAGGGTGTCCAGCAAAGAAAACCCGAGAACTAGAAGGAAACTTCCAGAAGCCAAGAGTATGTGAGGAAATGGGAGCCAGTGGAGAATGCTGCTGAGAAACTAAGTAAGATGAGAACAGAAAACTAGCCAATGAGTTTAGCAATTTCATTGGGAACTTCCTTTGAGAAGTTTGATCAATATTTATTGACGTGCAGGAGTGGAACCTAGATTGGAGTTGTCTAAGGAGATCATGAAAGGTGCGCACACACATAAACACACACACACAAGGCATGTGTGGGTGGATACCTCTCCTGAGAAATATGAATATTCATAGCAACTTTTGATTTCATTTGCATTGAAAAGAGAAGACAGGCCAAATCAATGTGATTAAGCAATACCTATTCAGAAAGTGTATGTTCCTCATGAAATAAATGAGTGATATTCATGAATAAAGATTTTATTAAATACAGTACCTAGTAGACCATTCACAGGGAATTTTTCTCCCGATCATAATTGTTTCCGTCTATTTCAAGAAGTCAACCAAGGATAGCACTGAATTCTATTAGTGAGTGAATCTAAATCAGAAACTTCAAAAGTACATTTGAAATATAGTCATCTGAAATAAAATCTTTTTTCTCTTCTGTGTAGCTCAAAGTTAAACATATTTTTGTCCCTTATGTTCAGTAAGTTTTCAAATTCTGTCCAACTTCCCTTTGAAATAACTCAGATTTCTCATTTCTACCACCACTCCCCTCGTTAAGCACCTTCTTGATCTCTCAACTAGAAAATTCTTCAGTGATTCCTTGTTTCCAGTCACATCAAATTTAAACGTCCAATTTTCAAAGCCTGTCATAGCATATCAAGTCTGACTTCATCGCACGTTTCCACCTGTTCCCCAGCATTCCCTGACACAGCTTTGTGCTCTAGCTAGGCTGACCACCTTCCTGTTCATACCCCAGCCCCTCCCTCCAGGTCTTATACTTTTCTGTGAGGTTGTGCATGTAGCCTGCTCAGTGGAGGAGCTGCTTACATCTTGACTTCCTACTGTAGGTGATCTTGTATATAAGTGACACGTGCAAATTTACAAGGCTGTGTTTTAAACAAACAAATGTTTCAGAATTCATGTACAATGGGCTACTGTTCTCCAAAGGCATTACCTTTATATTTTCTTCACTGATACTCGGTAATTCAAAAATTCTTAGAAGCTTTTTGTTTCATTTGAAGCCAATGAAAGTATCTGGCCCTTTAAATAAATAATTTAAACTTTTTAAACAAATTAAGTTTTAAAAAATCAATTGCTATTAAGCCATTTTAACCATTTAGGAAATTCTAAAGAGGAGGGAAAACAATAAACAGAGCAAAGACCATAGAACTGGCCGTGGAGATAGGGCATCGAGAATGACTTCAGAGAGGCTTTTGAAGAATGAAAGGGAATCTGGCAAGCACATGGGGGAAGAAGGGCCAGGAAAAGGTATTCCAGGCACCCCATGGGCAAAACCATGAAGCCATGGTGCCCTTGGGAACTGTAAATAGCGCGTTAGCAAGAACAAGAGTGACAGAGAGAAAGTGGGGAAGGTTTCAGTAGGTGCAAGTGTGTTGGTAGACAGAAGTGAAGAAAAACCTGGGGTCCAGACCCTGCATGCCCCACTATCGAGTTGGTGTGTAACTCTCAATGTTCCTCACTGAAAGGGGGTTGCTGTGATCATCTTTGCCACTACAGTACATGCTTTTTATCATCTTGCTTATCTTACTATATTCTTACTTATTTACAGTGCTTCCCTCTTCTTTACGACTTTTTAAATTCCCAGTGTTAGGCCTAGTATCTGACACAAGGTAGATATAGAATAAATAATGAATATAAAAGCTTGTTGTAAAAGGTTTGCACACAGGGGTCATAGAAATGCCTTCCTTGGTCTCTTGTAAGAGATAACACCCCATTTGTCATGTAAGATAATTACTACAGTGTCTCCTGGAGGCAAATGACCGAGGTGACTATATTACCTCAGTGCTTAGTTCGTACCCAAAGACTTCCCAAAGCAAATTGAAATCTTGACTTGGTGTTACAGGTATACTGGCACCATCTAGTGGTAATTTTAAGAACTAACCAAGTTGAAAGTTTCCTAGGGAACTTGATAACCAAACTTAGAAGTGCAAATAAGTAGAGCTTCTAACGTTTTGTGAATTGCTGAAGTGTTGTATTTAATATCATATTTTGTTGAACCTTTGCCACTATCCTCAAGTTAATACTTATGTATTCAGCGATTTTCATGCATGTATTTTGGTTGTATTTTATAAACATGGTGCCTAGAGGTTTTGATACACAAAATATTTTATTTGAAATAAAGTCTAGTTTTAGAAAAGAACGATCTATTAGTGGCTCTAAAAATTATCTGGTGAGAAAGAAAGCACATAATTGGACAAACCTGAAATCTTAGAACAATATTCTAATCTCATACGTTATATTTGCTCTTTCTTAGTGACAGTGTTCCAGGCTCATGAGATATTTTTTTCCCTGACATCCTTCTCCTTTTCTTTATTTCCCCCTGTTTGGACAATGTTTTTCAAAACTAAAAAATCTTGTCCTTTTAATTCTTTGCCGTATGATACTGGTTGACCACATACTGCAAATTTGTAGGTTAAGCCAGAAAAACAGGTTGTGAATCTTAGCTTTTTCTTATTTTTGTGGGTTTTTGAACATGTGTTATGTAGACATTTTGCTCGAGATTTGTAGTTGACTGACAGCTGAATCAGGGAACCAGATTATGATCATTGAATCCATTCCTCACATGTAGAGATTGTTGTGATTTCAATAGCAATGTTAATAAAATTAAAGCATTTGTTAAAAATCTGCTTTATGCATAACATAATCAGAAGCATAAGATTAATTTCTTTTTAAAAATTACTTACTCAATGCCAGAGGGACAGAGGGTTATAATTATCACTATTTCACAGATGAAGAAGCTGAAACACATGGCAGTTAAGTAGCTTCCACAAGGTCTCACTGCTCTTAAGTTTGCATTGTGATAATCCCCACCCAGATGTAAAGGTTGCCAAATTTGTGCTTTTAGCTACCATATAAACTTTCTGGCAATTGGGAGGATGCATAGGAAATACACAATAGAAAAATGCACAGAAAACCTTAAAGTGGTTAATAATTCTTATTTAAATACACACTACTTGATAAAAATCTGGGTTTTAATTTATTGTTGACATTATCAGCATCTGCTTGTTTCCGCTCCTAATTTTAGCTGACAGCCTTCGTTCCAGCTTACAGAAAGTTGCAAGTTCTTGCCTTTTGGTCTCAAATGTTTTGTTATCTCTCCTTCCCCACTGGCTATGTAGCAAGTGTGCTGGAGACATGCTGTCTGTGGGCCAGCAGTTGCCCATCTGGGCACTTTTTTCATTCTGCCCTTGGAAGGGGTGTATATGTCTACCTGTACCTCCCAGTAGGTGGAGTGTTGGAGTCAACGATTTTTGTGAAGAAACATCCAAGCTCTGTGTCACATGCTTGTATGTATGGATTACTGTGTTTATATATAACTTCTTTATTTGTAAATGTAGCACGTAAATTTGCATGATTGCAGTTATAGTATGCTACTGGGGCTTTTTGCTCCTTTTCCTTTGTCTACCTGGCCTTCCTTCTCATTTCTCTCCATCCATTTCATGCTACTATGTGTGTAAAAGGATGTGTAAAACACAACATGCATTCTTCCATATTTTCTATGCTTACGTACTCATTTATAAAATGTATCTATGTACAGGTAGACAATACAAATAATATATGAAGTAGATTTTTAAGCTATTTTATGGGGAAAGGTAGGATCTTATTATATACTTAAAAACACATACCTTTCAATCAGCTATCCCATTCCCATAGAAATAAAAGCACTGATCTGCAGTATTGTACAAAGCAGCAGGAAGGAAGGGGAATCCTTGAATGAACAATGATATGTCTATGCCATGGGATTTTAAGCAGTCATAAAAAATAAATTTGATATATACCATAAAGTGCCTCCTCTACTATTCTCTCTATTATTGATTTTACTGTTTTTATTCATTTACTGACATTTTAGTACCATTTTAAGAGGGAGAAGAAATAAATATATTCATACAGCCTTCTCTATAGTTAAAAATCTGACTAAGAGGATTTTAAGACATGCTTTAATTTCTGTTTCTTTTCCTCCTAGAGCTCTGAAGTGTCTTCAAGCATTTTTACCCTTCTATATTTTAGAAACAGGAAATCCTCAGCCTCTAGCAAGTTAAATTCTTCCTTCTTGCCTGTCTTTTAACACCTCTGGTTTTTCCTACCAGCAGCGTTTGAAGGGGCACAGCCTCAAACATCATCTCTGAAAGTTAACTCAGAACCAGTGAGACAGTAGTTCAGAAATTGTTCCTAAGATATTTGGACTTGCTTGGAAATAGGAGACTCATAAGAAAGAAATAGTATTTCTCTATAATCACAACTATGTCTTCTTCTGCTTCTGTACAGATTTGAAAAAGGGCGCATCTACACATTCATTGGAGAAGTTGTCGTGTCTGTGAATCCTTACAAGTTGTTGAACATCTATGGCAGAGACACAATTGAGCAGTATAAAGGAAGGGAGCTGTATGAGAGACCACCTCACCTTTTTGCTATTGCGGATGCTGCTTACAAGGCTATGAAGAGGCGATCAAAAGATACTTGTATTGTGATATCAGGTATTTGAAGGGGATCACCTGTACTTCCAAGATGAAAATGTACTTATCTTACTTGGTATTCAAGGATCTAAACAATAGATTAAAACTTTTTTTTAAGGTTAGAAGCCTGAATTATTTTATCGGAAAGAAAAAAGTAATGAACACTAAATACCAAATGATTTATATCATTTCTGATTTCCCCCTAGTCTGTGTTTATTTACAAATATATATTACACTGGAATGACTTCTGGCCAAATTGTAGACTGGGCTGACATGGAAAATACTTCTTCCTATCTCAAACACATAAAAGTACTCGATAAAAATGTAACAAAAATATTTTAAATAATAACAGAATGAAACTAAGTATTTACAGAGTTGCCAAAACTGAAGAGTGAACTCAAAATCAGCCTGGTGTTTGGGAGCCAGTGCTGAGGGACCTGCAGAGGCACGAGGGCCAGAAATAGGCTTTCAGAGATGAGGGCCCAGCTTTAAAACCCAGTGAGGAGGGACACAGGTCACAGACCCCGTGCCCAAGATCTGGAGCTGAACTGTCTACACAAAGTTGAACTACAGGGAATCTGGTATAATGGGGATAAGAAAAATATCTGTCCACTGACTCTGGACGGCCTCTCCTAAAACTATGGACATTTATTTTGGTGCTAGTAATTCCTCACATTTGCATTAGTAGTTTTGTGTTTTTAAAGCACTTTTATGATTATTAATCCATTTTGGTTATCAAAACAACTCTGAGTGGTATGTAGAACAGATTTTTTTTACTTTATAAATAAGAATATTAAAGGTCAATACTAAGTTACTTAGTATTGAAGTCATAGAATTATATCTTAGGACTACATTTCTTTTTTTTTTTTAATTAGAAAAGATAGATTTATTAAAAGGAAGATATTTTGTGAAGGGCACAATGGGCAGGAACAGCAGAGTGTTTGCTGTTTGCTATCTGCTAGGACTACATTTCATTAAAACAAATTATAAAAACAACATTGCCAGGTTGTAAAGGGAAGGAAAAAAAGTCATTATATGAGTGTGTGAAAGAAAAGCAAAAGGTCTCTTCCCCTTGAATACCTCATTCTCTCCCAAATTCCATCAGTAACAGATGTTAACAGTTGAGTGATTACACTTTTATACATTTTCTCTACATATGCAAATAACTATAGTCACACTTGCATATGTAATTATATTATAAGCATATAGTTATATTATAGAATTATATTATGCCCACTATTATGTAACTCATTTTCCACTTAACAGTACGTATGTAGTGGCCCCCTTTTCATTACATTACCTATAGAGTTAGTGCATTCTTTAAGAGATGACATGTAGTGTTCCATTAAGTAACTGAATCATAACTTATCTACCCACTTCTCTACTGATGGGTGTATAACTTCCAGATTTTAGCTGATATACAGTATAGTCTATAGAGATATTTTTAAACCTTTGAAAATTATTATTCATATTTGCTTATGTTAATATGTTTTAGTATTTCCTTAGGATGTACTAAAAACATTGTCTCTAAAAGTGGAGATTTGGGGTCAGGAGGCATAAACATTTAACAATTTTGACAGATTCTTCTGAATTGATTCCTCCTCCCCTCCCAATTATGCCAACTGGCCTGCTTTTTTGTCTGGAGCTTGCCGTTTTGTTTTATCTTATTAAAATTAACTCTAATTTTTAAAAGAATTATCTTACCCCTTTAAGAATAAAAGAAATTCTGCAATAGAAAATAGGGTTATAGAAATTGAACTGTGTCCTCTGTTTGAGTCACTACCTTATTTCTTTTCTGCTGGTCTTAGTTGTCTCTGCTAAGTTCACCACATTTTATCCTTTGATAATTTTTTCCTAAGTCTTGATTTATAGTCTGTTATTTTAGTTCTATAATAGTTTTTTTTTCCAACATATTCAGGTCTGTTAGAACAAATACTGTATCAAGACAGGATGAAATTACTCAAAAAAGTAACAATAACAACAAAAGAATGCAACCAGAGTGGTTTTAAATGAAACACACACACACACACACACACACACACACACACACACACACACACACATACACATATCTGTATTTTTTTTTGAGTCAGGGTCTCACTATGTTGCTCAGACTGGAGTGCAGTGGCACAATCACAGCTCACCACAGCCTCAAACTCCTAGGCTGAAGGGTACCACCCTCCTCACCCAGCTAAGTTTGTTATTTTTTTTTGTAGAGAGGAGGTCTCGCTATGTTGCCCAGGCTGGTCTTGAACTCCTGGCCTCTGGTGATCCTCCTACCTTGACCTCCCAAAGTGCTGAGATTACAGGTGTGAGCCACCATACTTGGCCCCAATATCAATATTTTAAGTTATTCTATTAAAAATTAGTGTACTCTTGGTTTAAATTATCATGTTAAACCATGCACAATTTTTTTCCCCAGGAGAAAGTGGAGCTGGTAAAACGGAAGCCAGTAAGTACATTATGCAGTATATTGCGGCTATCACCAACCCTGGTCAGAGAGCAGAAGTTGAAAGGTAAGGGTGATCTAATAGTGAAGAAAAGTTCTGATTGAAGCTTTGTTTACATAGGCTTGGCTAGGCCTAAACTCTGATAAGTATAAGTCAAGCGTTTTTTGATGATTACTTTGATTCTCTTATTGTATACTGTCCCTGTATTTTTATTTGTAACACTATATCTATTTCTAGACTTGTTTTTAATAGATAAAGGTTACTATTATAAACTTTGCCTAATTATAAAACAAAACATATTGCTTTGAAATGGTTGAAAGTGTCCTCCTTCTGGCTTACAACTGCCGCCTTAAATGTGGCCACCAGAGCTGTCATAATTTACTCGTACTCTGGTAGCTTTTATTGTTCAAGCTTTCACAGGTCTCTTACTCTTTCTGCCACACCAGTGTTTTCTTAAACTGTGTTCTGAGAGTGAAGCAGGATTCTGGAAGGCAGATCCATGCTTTCCCGTTATCATTACAACCAGAACCCACTGACGGTGGAAGTTCTAAATAAGATTCATTTTCTAAAAGGGTTTCATGCCATACCATACAGCTGATCACAGTAAGATGAGTAATAAAGCTAGCCTGTGCTCTCTGGAGCCCAGCATTTAAGACAGTGACTGGCACATAGCATTTGCTTAATAATGCATAAGGAATGAATGATGAGCTTTTGAAAAAATATGGCCATAAAGCAACATGACTTGACTTTCTTATGTGGTGTAGCCTTTTTGAAGGAAAAAAAAAGAGTTTTCCTAATTGGATACTTTGAAGCTCAATATTAATTTACTGAAAAGTCACACTTATTACACATTACAATCTTCTGTTTTATGGATAGGAAGAAAGGATACTGGTTAAATTTGAAAGAAGAGAATTTACGCTCAAGTGCTCTTCGTGGATTTTCTTGTTTGCATCATGATTGGGCTGTGTCAAAGAGATATTTTTCTTAATTGTAACATATCCATATTTCTGATTCTAACTTTGAATTCTAATATGGCAAGGACAAGAATATGGATATGTTTTCTTCATTTCCCTAGGAGTTCAGAAGAACAACTAGCTGAGAAGTAAATTAATTTTACATATAGTAGAGTAAGGCATATATACTTTTATTAGTCTTTTTTTTTTTGAGCCGGAGTCTCACTCTGTCACCCAGGCTGGAGTGCAGTGGCCCTCATGGTGGTCAATATCTGTCTGGGAACGGGGAGTCACCCCTTATCAACAAGGGTGCCTGAACAATGCATATTTGTATACCTAACCCTTAACTGTACCCCACAACTTTAAAATAAAAAATTTTAAAATAAAAATAAATAAATAAATAAAAGGAGTTTTTTCAGAACATATCTTTTTAAAACATATATTTTTCTTTTCAGAACATATCTTTAAATTTCTTTTTCAGAACATATATTTTTTAAAAGTTTGCCTTTGGATTTTTAAGCATTTACTAATACAACTGTATGCACACAATCACTCACATGTGCCTGCACACATGCAGACACACACACACACAGATCCCACATTGCATATTGTTTTGCAATTTGATTTACATTCATTAATATATTCTGGACATCTTTCCATGTCAGTACAGGTTGATGTACCTTATTATTTTTAGCACCTACATAGTATTTCAATATAGTATGTTGGAAAACAAATATGTTTATCTGTCCCTATTGGTGGATATTTAAGTTGTGTTTTAAATATTGCAAACAATGCTGCAGTCAGCATCATTGTATGAACATATTTGCTTGTGTTTTAGCAAAATCTAGTTTTTGAAAAGTCCTAGTCTCTAAAAATTTTTATAATGACTTTCATTTATCTGTGTTAAAGAGTAAAGAATATGTTGCTTAAGTCCAACTGTGTTTTGGAAGCTTTTGGAAATGCCAAAACCAACCGTAATGACAACTCAAGCAGGTTTGGAAAATACATGGATATCAACTTTGACTTCAAGGGGGACCCGATTGGTGGACATATCAATAACTACTTATTGGAAAAGGTAAAATGTGCTTAATTTCTGAGGGTAATGTTTATAAATACTGAATGTTTTTTAAAAATACATAATAATGTTTCTATAATTTCTTTTATTGTTTCAAAGTAGATTTAATCCTGTTCTCCCTCCTCAACTAACTTTCTGTGAGAAGGTATTCTTTTCTATTCTCTTATTAGCACTTACAGTATAAAAAAAGTTTCCATATAAGTATGGAAAAAGTTACAGACTTATAGATACAGATTTAGGTGTGTGTGTGTATGGTAGGGCACAGGTATGAGCATGGGTAAAGTTTAAACAAAAACTAATCTGGGATTAATCAGTTCTACTCTTTTTATATATCACCATCTTCCATATTTTTCAATTTTAGTTCTTTTGGTATGTCATTTTCTTCTAGTTTCTATTTGTTTTCTGCTTTATAGTAACATATATATTTTGTGCTCTTACATCCTGATTATGATGCCATACTATTTGGTTAGTAAAAACTTAGAATACGTTTTTATCTGCCTGTGTGAATGCTAAGCCCAAATTTCTGGAAGATTCCAATTGAAGCTTTCCTCTTGGGACTGCCAGAGAGGTTGTGTCCTAACTAATCTTGGTAATCACTGGACGTAACTGCAGGAGAGCACAGAGTTCATTCACCTGATTTTTGCAGTTAAGCTGTACTTTACAGAGTTAAGTCTCCACCTTGAATTGTACTCAGATCTAAGCTGACATGCTTTCTCAGTTAATGTTTTCCATTCCTATTATGCCATACCACCCTTTATGGCAGTATAATGTAGTATAATCTTTATTTTTGTTTGTTAATTGAAGTCAGACTGTTAACGAAATAAGTGTTTCATCAGAGTCCATTGAAAATGGACAGGGCATGTCAGATATTATCAGTCTTTTTCCAAAATGTTCCATGGATTCAGTTTACATACACATTCAATATGAAGGATTCCTTTGAATGAACACACATGGAACTCCTTCCCTAATAGCAGTCTTTTTGGAATCATCTGAAGCAGAGGTTCTTATGGACTGATCCTGCTCAGTGATTACAGGATGCATGGCATTGCTTTCTAAAATGCCAGCAGACCCTTGGGAAAGGAATGTTGAGACTATTCTTCCCTAAGCATTCCTTTCTGTTCTCCCCACATCCAATCCCAACTTCCCACCAATTTCATCTTTTGAGGTTCCAGGTTTTTAAAAAATCAAAATAGCCTCATTCTTCAGAAAGCCTAGAGACCTCTTTTAAGCAGAAAAAAGAATTATCAAAAAATTGTACAGGAAACCCCATAGAGAAGACCTACTCTTAGATGAGTACTGCCCATGGGGATCTTTGGGATATTTTAATGCACTGTAGATACAGAATTCCATAAGGAGGTGCCTTCTGTATTATTTTAGGTTAACTATTTTAATGTGTTTTTTTCTAGTCTCGAGTGATTGTGCAGCAGCCAGGAGAAAGAAGCTTCCATTCTTTTTATCAGGTTAGTAATCTTCTGGTATGCAGGTAATTGATCATTTGCTCAAGAAATGAGTATTTGTGCAGGAAATGAATATTTATATCTTGGGCTCTCACCTGTCCTATGCTTCCCTTATCTCCATGGCCCATAACACATTATACATACACACACATGTTGCACACCCTACCCCACATGCATCTTAAGAGACTGGACGAGCATGACTGTTACCACAAGCTGTCAGGTGGTTGGCCAACCAGATGACTGCCTTGAGTAAGCATCACCCACATTTCCTTTCAATGCAGATAACAGTTTAAAGATGATGAGAGCTTTTAAAAGGTCCATTCTAAATATATTCAATTAATTTTGTTTTATTTTGAATGGAAACTCTTGTTCCCAAATTTGAGAGGTCCAGAGATGGGAATACAAATTCAGTTTATTTTGCTCATGGAGATTATAAAGTAATATGATTACTTTTTAAAAACAACTAGGATTTATAAATTTAAGGGAGAATTATCTTCTTTATCCCATCAATGTTTAGAAAAATATTTGAATATCTCTTTTGGGAGTGCGTTTAGAGTCTAAAGCAAAATCTTTTAAATAGCCTGCCTGTTGGCAAGTCTTTACATGCAGAGAACAAGTTTAATGTATTACTGTAGTTTTTTTAAAGCCCAAAGTAATATAAACCAAGACTAATAAATAGAGTGGGTGATCAAATTAAGCAATATGGTGTTGGATTTTTAAGAAGTAAAACTATAAATTAAGATAGATCTCCATCTGTACACTGTCTCTGAAGGTGATTGAAAGGTTGCAATACAACTGAATATAATTCAGTTGAATTTAATTTCTTTTAGGTAACTGCTTTAGCAGGTACTAGTCGTGTATATATACAAGTTCTGGTATATTTGGTTTAAATATCAATTTGAAAAATCTGATAATTCTATCGTTTAAGTAAACCAAAACATACAGTTTGATATAAAGAATTTAAATGTAGTGCCTTCCAAAGCATACTTTATATGAAAGGGCTATCAATATTGTATTTGTCTTTTTGTTGACAATTTGCCCTATTAAAAAAATTTTTTTTTCTACTAAATGCAAAAGAGTTCTGTTTATTTCAGGAACCCATAACCTTTACCCAGTGTTTTTCCCACTTGGATGGAAGGATTAAAACTTATCTTTATCCAACACTATAGTCCTGGTTGTCCAATTGTCCTCCTTTCCTGAGGTCTACAGCTTGATGGGGAAGAGCTGTTTGTTTCTGGTGTGATTCAGCATATGACTGTCTACTGATCCTTCTTATTTCCTTGACAATATTGACTTTCTAAATTCTGAAACATAGCTATATCCTGGCTATAATATGGTTACTCAGCAAGTAACTACCACAGAGCATAGGATCCTGTTTTACAAATGACTGTATTCAAAACAAGAAGTTTTTATACTAGTTTAAGTTGTGAATTAGATAAGACTTTTATTATTTTTTTCCAAAGGCCAAAATAATCACTTCATTAATCAATCAAATCTGAGTATATATAACATTATGAAAAAGAAAATAGCAATGACTTCAAATCCAGTGATAACAATATATGGTTCAGGGGCTTGTGTGATGACAAAAAAGTTCATAGATGTCAGTTAGTGCCAACCGCAGCAGCTTCACGTGACCTTTCACACTGAAGCAGAAGGGGCGATGATTTACTTTCAGCCGCACGGTCTCCATCATGCCCTCAGACCCAACAGCCACACTTCCCCTCAACTCTTCTCTTCAGCACACCGCCCCAGAACACCTCGCAAGGCGACAGCAACTGGCACTTCGGGTGAGCACTTCCCTTCTAGATGAGACTTTTAAATTAATTTTCTTTATGACTGCATTCTCTATAACTGATGACAGTGAAGCCATTTATTTCCCTTGCAAATAAAGCAGGCTGGGTATGATGGCTCAAACCTGTAATCCCAGCACTTTGAGAGGTGGAGGCAGGAGGATTGCCTGAGCCCACGGGTTCAAAACCAGCCTTGGCAACATGACGAAACCTTGTCTTTACAATAAATCAAAAAATTAGCCAGGCGTGGTGGCACACACCTGTAGTTCCAGCTACTTGGAAGGCTAAAGCAGAAGAATTGCCCGAGTCCAGCAGGTCAAGGCTGCGGTGGCCATAAGCGTGCCACCGCACTCCAGCTGGGCAACAAAGTGAAACTCTGATTCAAAAAGAAACAAAAAACTTCTTCAAAGCTCGAACAGGAAGACCTAAATGAATTGAGCTCAGAAAATGATTGAAAGCTAGATTACCATTAAGTTAGAATATTTGGTACAGCATATGTTTTACCAGTTTATTTCTAATTAAATATTTTTCAGCTACTCCAAGGAGGTTCAGAGCAGATACTACGCTCCCTGCATCTCCAGAAATCACTTTCATCTTACAACTATATCCATGTGGGAGCTCAATTAAAGGTAAGAATTTCTTCTTTGAGACTGTTCAGACAATCAAATAATCAGAAGGGATATTAAATAATTATGTCTTTTCTGTCCTATTTTTAAATTCTCAAGGACAGAAATGCAGTAGATTATTGAACTAACAACCTTGCTTAATAACCCATTACTATATTTTATCACCATCTGACAGGAAAGAAGTTTTTTCTATATTCAGTGTTTTATTTCATTTTTAACCCTATTCCTATTTCTTTTATTTTGATACTGTAAAAATATTGATAGGACTGAGAAGACAATTCCATATGAATTGGCTAAAGCAAATTAGTAAGACAGAAAAAAAATTAAAAGCACATCTGTTCTCTATTTGTTGTTTTTCAAATATTGATTTTGATGTATACTAGAAATAATTTTTAGACCCTTGAGCGTTTCTATTCAGCTGTCCAAATTTTCCATTTTTACCCTCCCTTTGCATGCAAATATTTATACACTCACATGCAGGCGCATTTTTGCTCTTTACCTCTAGTTAGTTTTCTGCTAGTCACTTTACAACTAATTCTAATAATATAATGTTTCATTGATAGTATGTTATAAAATGATAATTATATTTTTATCCTATTTTTGTAGGAGGGAAGATATATAAATGCATAAAATAAGATATGGAGGGATATAGATTACAATATTAGTTGTTTATTCTGGAGAAGTGAGATTGTGGATATTTGTGTTCTACTTTATATTTTTTCTGTAATAAAATTCATCATTTTTGTAGGTGAGAGAGAAATAAAGAGAAACTCTAAAAGAAATAGGATCTAAGATGTGGACAGTATTTCTTTCTTTCTTTCTTTCTTTTTTGAGTTGGAGTCTCGGTCACCCAGGCTGGAGGCTGGACTGCAGTAGCATGCCCACAGCCACCCCAGTGTCAACCTGCTGGGCTCAGGCGATCTTTCCACCTCAGCCTTTCAAGTAACCAGAACTACAGGCGTGCGCTACCATGCCCGGCTAATTTTTTGATTTATTGTAGAGATGAGGTCTCACTGAGTTACCCAGGCTGACCACGAACCCACGGGCTCAGGCAATCCTCTCACCTCAACCTCCCAAAGTGCTGGGATCACAGGTTTGAACCACCGTCCCGGCCTAGTTTAGTTGTATTTTTATTGTTATACATATAAACATTGATATTTTGGTTTTTGCAACTAATTTTCCATTATCTGACATTCAGGTTATACTTTTACTTTTTATTTTTACAGTCATCTGAGAGCAGGGATGTTTGGCTGAAAATTAATTGAAAACAAAACAATAGAGGGCAGCACTTCAACTTTCTAAGAATTGGCCAGAGGTACTTAAAGATGTGTAAAGGATTGTAAAGTCAACACTTAAAACGCTGGTGGCTGCGAATATTTGTTTTCCAATTATCTTATTAACCAGATTACTTTTCGTCAAGTCATGTAGAGTCCCCACAGAAGGCAAGAGTTAAATTAACATTTAGCCTTTTTTTCTAAGTTAAATTTAGCTTAGGTTCCCTTTTTATCAAAGTTTTCCATTTCCACTTTCCTCATCTTTTTTTCTTCCTCTCTAAGAAAAACAGAGTAATATATGATCATTAGTTAAAACTTAAAATAAAGATAAACCAAAAGGAAATAAAAACACACTAAATTTTAATATCCAGAGATGATTATTGTTAATAACTTGTACCTATATTTATAGATAGAATCAAACAATAAGTCCTGGTTAAATACATTTGCTTTTATTATATTATAATCTAAGCATTAATATCTTCCCATGCAGGTAAATATAAATCAATATTAATATAAGTTTAATAACTATAAAGTATTACACTGTACGTATCTTAATTAGTCCTAAAATGTATGAATCATGTACAATTACGATATTTGGGGTTACAGGTAAGAAAAGACCCAATTAAAAGTCTCCAAAACAATAAGGAACTGAATTATCTCACTTGACAAGAATCCCTGAGATGGAGCAGTTCCAGAATTGGTAAAGTCATTGCCTTAACAGTGTTGTTAGGGACTCACATGTCTTCTTATTTGTTTGTTTTCCCAACTTATAACTCCGCCATACTCAGTGGACAGGCTCTTTTCTAAGGCTGGTTTTCCTTGTGGTCTCAAAATGGCATTAACACTTCCAGGAGTCACAGATAAAGGAACTGTTCATGGCTTATGTCCCTTTATAAGCTAGGGAAACCTCCTCAGAACACTCTCTTCTCCCATCCCCTACAAACATGTTCCCAATTGTCTTTTTGCTCAGAATGGCATCTTGTGTCAGTGGCTGGCCAATCACTTAAGGGAATAGGACCACCATGATAAATTCAGACCAATGAAAATTTACCCCTCAGGCTGTGTAGAGGCCAATCACAAAGGACACATGCACTTGGAGAGGCATAAACAAATCCAGATTCTATCAGCAAGAAGGAAATGGGGGTGAGGAATGGCTGTTAGTTAAGCAGTCAACCATTCTCCACAGTAGGACATTTTGGTTTTTGTTTGGTTTGGTTTTTTTTTGTCCAGTTACTTTGCAGTTTCAGCACAGTTGCAGTTTATAATAATAGTAATATCTGATACTTGAGTATTTTTTTTAATGTGCTAGAAACTAGGGAGGTACTTTATTTAAATTCTCATTCAATTCTTGCAATCACCTTATAAGAAATATATTATCATCCTATTTTACCTATGAGGAAATTGACACTCAATGAGATTAAGTATTTTGCCCAAGGTTAAAAAAATCAACAAACAACCAAAAAACCCTAGTAGGTGGAGAAGCTTACTTAGTTGTCTCCAGGACACTAGAAAAGCATGTGTCTCCCCTTCCTCAGCAGTGAGCATTAGGCCAGATCTCTGTGTCCAGTCAAAAGGAGAAACTCCTCATGGAAAGCCTTATTAGTCAGGCCTTTGTAGCTACTGCTTTGGGAAAACTTCTAATATAAGCAATTGCCACTGCTTTGTTGTGAATTTCTATTTACACACTTGTATTTCCAATGTAATGGCCACAGGTTCTTAAAAGCAGGTGATTCATCTTCAAACTACCTATACCAGTTAGATCTGACTTACCAAACATTTATTGAATGAGTGAAAAATGAAGTGCTGGTCCCAGACTGTTTAGTAGCTTGCTGAATGACTGAGGCTGGCTGCTTTGCTTTGGGAAGGGTCCTGCTTTTCCTCAGCTAGGAAATAAAACACCTGATTACACAAAATGGGATTGTTGTTGCCAGCCTATACAAGCAAACTGTAGAACAAAGAGCCACAAACCACAGTAGCCAAGTGTGTATTTTGGAAGATCCCATAGTCAACATTTCCATTTGTGATCTCACATCCCATACCATTGCCTTCACTGATCATGGAGTGGCGATCAACTTCTCTGAGCCAAACCAGGACTTGCTCCCTCACTGAAGGTTCCAGAAAGGGGCACAGTGCTTATTTTGGGTGATGACTTCCACACACAAGTAGGCTTTGCATGTGCTGAATGATGTTTTCACTCCTAAAATCATTTTTATTTTCTCTAGACACTCATCATCCCAAGTGATTTACTATAAAGGCATGAAGATGCTGGTTAAACAAATTAATTTTATAATTGTTGGATTTTAATGCTCATAGGAAATGGCTGTGACTTGAGTTTTTTATTTTCATCCCTAGTCTTCTATCAATGATGCTGCAGAATTCAAAGTAGTAGCTGATGCTATGAAAGTAATTGGTTTCAAACCTGAGGAGATTCAAACAGTGTATAAAATTCTGGCTGCTATTCTTCACTTGGTGAGTAGGGGCACTGCTAAGAGTATATTGTCTTTCAGACAGAATGCTTTCTCAGAAGATTTTTGTTTTGTTTTGTTTTCTATAGATTTAAAAAGTAATTTATTTAGAGAAAATATTGCTGATGTTTTGAAGAAATTATTATGTCTGTGGTTCTCACCATCATTGTATGAGGGATTTTCAAGCCACTGTAGGGTTTGAGACTGTGACTTCAGTTAATTGTCTTACTGGTATCGTTAAGCTTGGAAGTGGTTAATTTCAAGGACAAAGAATTCAGCAGTGATATGATTACTAATGGTATTAAGTTTCCAACGGCACTTGAAACATAGAATCATAGATTATTAGAACTGGATTTTTGATCATCTCATTTTACAGATTGGGAAATGGCCCTAAGGGGTCACTTGACTACCTCAAAGGCGCAATCAGTTCATCACAGAGCCAACACTGTAGACCATTCTTTTTCCATAATACCATACCACACTTAGAAGTGAAGAACTGTGTGTTCGATTTCTTGCATCATCATTTATATAATTAGAGATTTTTGAACTATAATGAACATGTAATCTTACAATATGTGAGTGATTGCATGGATTCAAATCTGGAATAAAAATTCTCTTTCACTTTAATGTAGGAAGATTTCACTGTAAATGAATAAAAAATGTTCAGGATCTATATGAAAAGTATTACACAGCAATATAAATGATAAATGTTTCTGACTAGGAAGACTTTAATATTATAAATTGTCTCATCTCTTTGAATTAGTTTTTAGAGACAGTGCAACAATCCCTCTCAGAATTCAAACAGGAATTTTGTTTTGTTTTTAACTTGACCTATCGATTCTAGAATTTACCTGGAATAATAAACCTGTAAGAAGATCAAATAAAGTGTATTAAAGACGAGTATTAAAGGTGAAGGAAGGAGAGGGAACATGACTAATTAATTCTACCAAATTTAAAATGACAGTAAAACTTACAGTACTTTAAAACTTCTTGTACAAATTCAGTACCAGATCAACAGATTAATCAGATTAGTTGGTGTACTGGACATTTGGAAGATAGTTAATAAGTACATATTGCTTATTGAATGAGTAGAATATAAATAGACTCAAGCACTTAAAGAAATTTAATATATTAAAAAAAGATGACATTTCAAATCAGAGTTGAAAGCTAGCCTCTTCAATAAATTGTGTTAGAGCAACTAACCATATGAAAAATAAAGTTAGAGTTTTACTTTATACTACATACCAAAATAAATTCTGGATGGTTTAAAAGTTTAAATGTAAGAAAAAGAACTATAAAAGTATCAGAAGAAAACATCAAATACTCAAAAACCTTTGGAGTAGGAATAGTTTAAATATGACACCAAAGAAAGAGAAACCCTGAGGCAAAAGATTCATAGATTTGACCACTAAAAATGTAAAACTTCTATCCATCACAAACATACACTGAAAATGAAAAGATAATTGAGTGTCTGAAAAAGAGAAAAAAGTAGATGACACACTCTGTTATTATATGTTGAGATATGTAATGTATTTAAGAAAGTAGCTACAAACAAGGTCACTTGAATTATATCTTAAATTGGCAAATATATCCCTAACATAATGTTTAAGAATCTCTGTCTTGTTTTTCAATTTTGATATAGGGAAATTTAAAATTTATAGTAGATGGTGACACACCTCTTATTGAGAATGGCAAAGTAGTATCTATAATAGCAGAATTGCTGTCTACTAAGACAGACATGGTTGAGAAAGCCCTCCTTTACCGGACTGTGGCTACAGGTCGTGACATCATCGACAAGCAGCACACGGAACAAGAAGCCAGCTATGGCAGAGACGCCTTTGCCAAGGTGAGATTGCAGCTCACTTTTGTCAGCCTTGTGTTGATCTCAGTTGATGTTTAAGTGAAATCCTATAAGGATGCATTCAGATGTTCCTTAAAAGTAGGTTAAGACTTTGAGACACTGTAATAATATATTTTGGCTATCACAGCCTCAATAAAACCTCCTGCCAGAGAAGGTTCTGAGAGAAGCAGAGGCCGGCTGATGGTGGAGCTGAAAAGGCTTATGTTTTCCAGGGCCCCTCAAGTGTGTGGGCCCCTTTCATGGCCCTCCATGTTGCTTCTCGCACCTAGTAATGCCCCACAAGAGTCTCCTTCAGTCCAACTGACTAAGCTGTAATACATTTTTTAATTTTTTCTTTTATTTTTAATTGACAAACGGTAATCAAATATATTTATGGAATGCAATGGGATGTTTCAGTACATGTATACATTGTGCAATGATCAGATCAGGCTAATAACATATCTATTACCTCACATACTTAATCATTTCTTTGTGATGAGAACATTTAAAATCCACTCTTGGTGATTTTGAAACATACAATACCTTATTACTAGCTATAGTCACCATGCTGTGCAATGGATCACCAGAACTTCTTTCTCCTAACTGAGATTTCTACCCTTTGACCAGCTTGTCCCCTTTCCCTTTCCACCCCCATTCCTCCAACCTCTGCTAGCCACCATCTACTCTCTGCTTCAATGAGTTCGACTTCTTTAGACTCCACATGTAAGTGAGCTAATACAAGTATATGTCTTTCTGTGCATGGCTTATTTCATTTAGCATATTGTCCTCTAAGCCTGTGTACCATCTGTGGTCTTAGTACCACAATTTGTTTAACCATTTTCCTCTTAAGTCATTCACTTTCTTGCCACTGCAAATAGTGCTACTAGTCTTTATACATCTATCCTTACACCAGTGCTTCTATCTCAGTTGGATAGATTCCCAGGAGTGAGCTTGCCAAGTCAAAGGGTATACTGATTTTAAACTTTAAATATATTGGTTTTATGGCTGTACTGTAATAGCTCATTGTTGCTTTATTTTTTATTACTAGCATTGTTGAGCATCTTTTCATGTTTTGTAAAGTATTTATATTCTGAGAATTGCCTGAGTAGATCCTTTTTGTACGTTTTCTTTGGGGCTGTTATCTTTTTATTGTCAATTTCCAGAAGTACTTCTTATCTCATAAACTTTAATCCTTTTCTGCTGTGTGGTAAGAGTTGTATTTTTCCAGGTCTAACTTTTGTTGTTGTTGTTCTACTGATTGATTAGACTGCTGTCTGTTCCATTTTTTTACTCTTGTGAGGCTTCGGCTTGGTTTTTAGTCTTGGGACGAATTTGAATTTATCATAAGTGCAGTGGGGAATAATTGGAGGATTTTAAGACCAGGCAGTAACATCAAGTTTGAAGTGTTAAAACAATCACTCCTGCCTTATTGTGGGAATCTTATGAGGGGTAGAGCAGGAGAGGAAGCAAAGACACCAGTTGAGATATTTTATTAATCTAGGAGAGAGATGATGGCAGCTTGGACTAGGGAGATAGCAGTAGAAGTAGGGAAATGAAGATGATTTGAGATGGGCTTTGTTGAGAAAATAACCCATGGAACTTGCTGTGTGGGGAATGAAGGAAGTAAGGATAATACCTTAACATGATTGGCTCTAGCCTACCTCTCTGGCCTCATTTCATACCATATTCCAGCTTCTTTCTTCATTCTAGCACATCAGTCTTCTCTCAGTCCTCACAAGTTATATTTATCCCCTTTTCCTTCCCGCCACAAGGCTTCTGCATGTGCTATTTCCTCTTCTTGAATTTCTCTTCTCTCCCCACATGCCTGTTTACCACTTACTCATCCTTCCTGTCTCAACCCAAGCATCACTTTCTCAGAGAAGGCTTCCCTGACCTCCCTGACTACGACTGAGTAGATTAAATTCCCCACATACCCCATGCACTTCTCCTTCAGAGAGAGAGAGAGAGACAGGCAGACAGACAGACAGAAAAAGTGCATGTGATTTTTTTCCTTCACATCACTCCCTAAGCTCCTTGGAGACTGAGATGATGTTTGTGTTTGCTTAGTAATGCAATTCCAATAAACTACACATAATAAATACTCAGCAAATATTTGTTGAATGAATTAAATAATTCCTAAGTGTCTGGCACTGTTTATTCATTGCTAAAAGTCAGATAAAAACAGCTTTGGAGGTGGGAAGAAAAAGAGTCCTGACAAGATGTAAGTTTGAGATGGCTGTGAGACATCTAAGAGTCGCTGTCAGGGAAATGGCAAGCATGGGAGTCAGGAGCTCAGAGGCTCTTCTTTGGGTCTGGATTGGGATAATACATTTGGAAGTCATATTAGTATTATTTCATCCTGGATGAGGTGACTCAGAGAGTGAAAAGAAGAGAGCCAGGAGGAATGCCAACTTTGAGAGGTCAGGTAGATGAAGAGCCCTTACCAAAAAGCGCCAAGAAGGAGCAGCCAGCGAAACAAGAGGAAAATTAAGAAAGGCTGGGATCACGAATCCCAGAGAGGAAGCGTTCCAAGAAGAGAGTGGGAAACTCAGTTGAGTGCTGCTGACAAGTGGAGCAAGATGTCTATAAAGAGGTACAAGAAAGGGTCTCTGTAGAGGTGCTAAGGGTCTTTGATGAGCCATTTCAGTGGTATAGTAGGACAAGTGAAGACTTGAGTAGGTTGAAGAGTAAGGGAGAAGTGAAGAGTGGAGACAGTGAGGATGAGTGAAGAGTGTGGGTAGCTGGCTAGAGATGTTATGGAAGGAGTTCTAAAGACATGGCATTGCAGGGCACATGGGGATCAAAGTATGAATTTATGTCAGCCTGTGGCATCTTTGTACATGTGTGGTTTGGCATGTGTAGCCTTGTGCATTGAATGCATGTTTGAGTCTCAAGGAATTTCAAATCTTGGCCTTTTGGCTCAGATCTTTATTTAGGATTAGAAATAAATGTGCATATTTTTAGAATTCATAGAATTTTAATGGGTTATAGATATTAACTCATTAGTTCCCAACTTTTTATAATTGATGAAATTAACAGTAAAGCAATGAAGGGACTTATATAAGGAATTATTGATATAGCTACACATGGAAACACGCTTGGGGATGTTGGAATAGATAAAGAGGCTGATAATAATTTGTTAAAAATTTAAGCCATTTACTTTAATTTTGCATGCATTATATAGTTTTTTAAACAGATGATCTATATTTTCAATTGTTCTGTTTAATAACAGCTATGCTAAACAATAAGGAGAAGGTAGACAGAAATTTAACATTTATTGCAAATCCCAATAGAGGACTCATTCCCAAATGGGCAGGAATTTACAATGTTGTTTTCTTCACAGGCAATATATGAGCGGCTTTTTTGTTGGATCGTTACTCGCATCAATGATATTATTGAAGTCAAGAACTATGATACCACAATTCATGGGAAAAATACCGTGATTGGGGTCTTGGATATCTATGGCTTTGAAATCTTTGACAACAACAGGTAAAATGGATCATATACTTAAAACCATATTGCTTTTTTTAAAATTTATTTTATCTATGGCTTTGAAATCTTTGACAACAACAGGTAAAATGGATCATATACTTAAAACCATATTGCTTTTTTAAAAATTTATTTGTCTAATGTATTCCTTTTCTTGTAGCTTTGAACAATTCTGCATCAATTACTGCAATGAGAAATTGCAGCAGCTATTTATCCAGCTGGTTCTGAAGCAAGAACAAGAGGAATACCAGCGGGAAGGGATCCCGTGGAAGCACGTGAGTAGACTCTTGTGGAAAATGTCTTCATGTATTTCTCATATTGCTCATAATGAAAATCTTAGCATTTTAGGTATTTATTGATCTTCTTGGGTAGTTGAAACAGCTGAACCTTAGTTGTTTTCTTTTTTTGGTTTGGATGCATTCATTTTCAGAATTGTTAGGTGGGATTTCTCTAATTTGATAGACTACCTCACTGGTTCTCTGAAAATCCTGAGTTACAGCCAGTAAACCTAACATTTTTTACTCTGTGGCTTATACCATATGGCCGTTCTGTTTTATGTCTGTCTATTAGAGTTTAGCATCATTTATTATCAAATTTTGCCTTAAATTGGGTGGACTTTGCTTCCAAATCTAGTTTCTTCTTCATGTTCTTTTTTTTCCTTCTCTTCCTCCTTCACTTTGTAAACTGGTATTTTATTGTCTTCAGTTAATGTTATTCATATTCTCTGAAACCCGTGCTTTAAAATACCTATATTGCCTTTCATCTCCATTTACTTTCCTTTGTCTCATACTTCAGGGCTCTTCATCTACCTGACCTCTCAAAGTTGGCATTCCTCCTGGCTCTCTTCTTTTCACTCTCTGAGTCACCTCATCCAGGATGAAATAATACTAATATGACTTCCAAATGTATTATCCCAATCCAGACCCAAAGAAGAGCCTCTGAGCTCCTGACTCCCATGCTTGCCATTTCCCTGACAGTGACTCTTAGATGTCTCACAGCCATCTCAAACTTACATCTTGTCAGGACTCTTTTTCTTCCCACCTCCAAAAGCTGTTTTTATCTGACTTTTAGCAATGAATAAACAGTGCCAGACACTTAGGAATTATTTAATTCATTCAACAAATATTTGCTGAGTATTTATTATGTGTAGTTTATTGGAATTGCATTACTAAGCAAACACAAACATCATCTCAGTCTCCAAGGAGCTTAGGGAGTAATATGAAGGAAAAAAATCACATGCACTTTTTCTCATGGCTCTTTGTGAACTTTTATATTTGTTAGGAGCAAACTAGTCTAGTAAGATGTAGCCTGAGAGTATAGCTGGTCTAGGATACAAACCACAGAGATTACAGCTAAAAGGCATGACTTGTTTGGTTTTCTTATTCCCTACAATTAGACTTCCTACTTATGATAGAACTAAGACCTGGTAATATTTCTTTTAAGTTTGTATTTTTATTTTGTTTGTTTTTTTTATTTCAAATATGCAGGGTACGATTCAGGATTAGGTATACAAGTGGGCATCATACGGTAAAGTTTGGGCCTCTAGTCCTCACTTTGCCAGGTTTGAGATCAGGTACCCATCTTGATGTTATGCGTGGGCCCCCTCCCCCCACCCCACCCTGGTAATTTCCCACTACTGTCAGTTCCTTTCTTATAGTAAAAACATGGAACCAGCCATGCTGCCCATCAAAAGTTTGTATTTTTAAACCGTTTTGAGAATATATTTGAAAAATGCAAAAACTTTGAGTTTCCATAAGTTTCTGAGTTTGTAAAAACCTTATTTATTGTCTTGCCAGACAGTGAAAATAAAGCCAATATTTGTTTTCCAATATCCAACATAATAGCAGTAAAAAGTTATTTAGAATGCTATATTTATTTCATTTTTATTTTTATTTTAAAATTAAAAAAAATAATAATAGAGACGGGGTCTTGCTATGTTGCCCAGACTGGCCTCAAACTCCTGGCCTCAAGCTATTCTCCCAACTCGGCCTCCCAAAGATTATGGGCATGAGCCACCAAACCTGCCTGAAATGCTATATTTAAATGACTTTTATATTCCCTCCTATCTTCCTGTTTTCTGTCTCTTTTCATTCAGAAAAAAGAGACAATGATACAATAAATAGCTTTCCAGCCTCAAATTACATCTTTGCCTTCCATGATGTGTTAAACATTAGAATATCATAAAGAAGTTTGAGAATATTAGCATAAATTTTACCTATTTACAAATAAACCAAAGAGTTACTTTATAATATAATTATCTACACTTTGATTTAAATAGTGAACTCTCATCATAATTAAAATGTAGTTCAATTAAGTTTATATGAAGCTTTCTAACAATGAGTCTGTTTTATTATGTAATACATAGTGTAACTGAAACGTATATTTTTGTAACAATTTAATCATAAAACTTGTTATTCAAATGTGATTTCAAGATACTGGTCAAAAATATCCTTTAACAACCATGGTATCAAATTCCACAGGCAGAATTGATAATGGAAAAAGTAACAATTGTGGTAGGGTATTCCAAACATCAGAAAAAAGAAACAAGAACCCTAAAATGCAATAGTTTTTCACTATATAAACCAAAAAATATGGGAGGGAGGGAAGGAGCAGAAGATTAACCCCAAGGTAACAGTTACTGACTACGTGCCAGTTCTTCCCAAAATGAGATCTCTAGTCTGAGTATTTTCTTTAAAAATTCCATACTTCTAAACATAGCAGTTCTTTTTTAAAAAAAAATTTTTTTATGGAAAAGTTTAAACATACTTAAGAGGAGAAACTATAGTATAATAAACTCTATGTGCCCATTCCTGTTTTAACACATCAGTAGACTGCCAGTCTGTGTCATCTGTTCCCCTACTCACCTGCTCCCAAGTTATTTTGAAGCAAATTTCAGATATTGCTTTGCTTCACTTGTAAATACTTCAGTGTTTTTCTCTAAAAAATAGAGTTTTGATCGAATAAATCTTTCTCTGCTCAAAAAAAGTTTTACAGAAACCATGACCACAATACTATTATCACACCTAAAAAAAATTCCTTAATATCATAAAATATCCAGTTGTTCATATTTTATATTTTCTCAATTGTCTTATAGTTGTTTGGGAGTTTGTTTGAATTTGAATCCAAATAAAGTTCTTACATTATGATTGGCTGATAGGTCTCTCACACATCTATAGACTTTCTCTTCCATCTCCTTTCTCTCTCTCTCTCTCTCTCTCTCCATTCTTTTGTTGAAGAGAATTAGTCATATGTTCTGTGGAGTTGGCCATAGTCTAGAATTTGCTAATTGCATTCCTGAAGTGTCATTTAGTATGTCTCTTCGTTCCTTGTATGTTCTGAATATTTTTTGTTAACTCTGGAGTCTTGACTGGATTCAGGATTCGGCTTTTTTTGGGTTTTGTTTTTTTTTCTCATTTATTCAGTTTTATAGACTGTGGGTGAACTTCCACTAGGAAGTTCATGATATCGGGTCATCTGTGATTCATTCACTTTTTTTTTTTTTTTTTTTTTTCATTAATCAGTATTTTTTATTATGGTTTTGTGGGGTACAGTTAAGGGTTAGGTGTACAATGACGTTTCATTCAGGCACCCTGTAGATAAGAAGTGTTTTCCCATCCCCCGACAGATATTTGCTACTGTTAATCCCATCCCCCTCCCCCCCATAGTTTTCCCAGTACCATCCGTCATTTTCTCATAGTATTGCATTGGATGG